AGATGTCTTTCTTTAAAAGAAAAAAGAGCTTTCACTGTTTTGCTGTTTCTTTCAGGTGGGATTTTATTGTTTACTACCCAGGGCTACTGGCCTACTGCTTTCGAAAATGAGAGGAACCATGAAGTGACCTGCCAATGCAGCCGCAGAATCTGCTGTTGCAGGGAGAGATGTTGTGCCACCCATGTGTGAACACACTTGCGCACGCCTAAGGAGCTTTTCAGATCCTGGCACAAAAGGGAAGACTTGGAGGGCTCTACACTTCATCATGTACTTCCCATTGATGCCTAATCTGTTTCTTTTCCCTCTAGAAACATCTCAGAGTAAAATTACTACCCTTGGCCAATTTAGCATGTATGGCATTAAATCTTCCGAGGGTGGGGGGAAATGTGCGTATGTTATTGAGCGATCCGTTCTAAGTATCATATTGATTTCTGTAGTGGAAGCAAAGAGTTCCCAGATGTTAGCTTTTCCTAGCCACTGACATTTCAGAGTTTTAGGCCAAAAAGGAAAGGAAAACAAATGTTCACGGCTCTGTAAAAAGCGGGTCTGCAGGAAACGCTCAGTTATTATACGAGGAAAGGAGAAAAGAGCCAACAGTGGAGGGGTTATTGCTGATATTTCTTAAACTCCCATAGGAAAGGAGAGTTCACAGCACATCTGTAAGGGGAAACATTCTGGTTCAGAAGACACAATGTAACTACAGTATAGTAATAAATGACTTAGCTGGATCTCTCCGTATGAAGCAAATCTTCAAGCAGTAGGCATATAAACCTCGCTATTTGTTCCAGCGCTTTGTGAACATTCCTTCCCATGCAGGGTGATAAAATTATAGCCCTCCATGTCTATTATAAAGTATTTGACTCTCTTTATTCCAATTATTCTAAAAAGCCTTTTAATTCCCCACCCTCTTGAGGAGCAAAGTTGTGCTATGCTACAGATAAAGGGACTGGCTTGTAGGCAGAACCTATTATATAGGACCCCATAGCAATAGGGATTCAAAATGCTAATATATTTAAAGTGAAACTGGAAGAGGGGTGGATTAAGTAAAATACCGTGGGAAATTCAAAGAAAACCAAACAAGTAGGAATGAGACTAGCAACATTTGTCATCTTTAGTAGTGATCACTTTACATCATCATCATCCTATGGCCTTGTCTGTTGTTGTTGTTGTTGTTGTTGTTGTTGTTGTTGTGTGTTTATATCCCATCTTTTCCCCAGACTGGGACTCAAGGAAGCTTACACAAATTAATAGAACACAAATAAAATACAAATGGCTAGAAACATATAGAGCAGGGGTCACCAAACTTTTTCAGCAGGGAGCTGGTCCACTGTCCCTCAGACCTTGTGGGGGGCCGGACTATATTTTTGGGGGGGGGGGTGAATGAATTCCTATGCCCCACAAATAACCCAGAGATGCATTTTAAATAAAAGGACACATTCTACTCATGTAAAAACATGCTAATTCCTGGACCGTCCGCAGGCCGGATTTAGAAGGCGATTGGGCCGGATCAGGCCCCTGGGTTTGCCTACCCATGATAATCATTACAATGTAATCAAGCTCTAATAGAAATAAAGCTACATTAAAAACAAATCTATTAAAATACAGAGAATAAAAACATCACAGCACTATCAAAAGTCCTTTCCTTAAAAAACAATCAGTTCCCAAAGACCTTTCGGAATAAAACAGCCTTCACCTGCTGGCAGAAGAACAACAAAGGTAGGACCCATTCTAGCTTCTCGAGAAGGAGAGTTCCTAAGTTTGGGAGCAGCCACCGAGAAGGCCCTCTCTCATGTCCCTACCAAGTGTGCCTGTGATGGTGCGGGACTGAAAGAAGCGCTTGCCATGAAGGTCTCAAAACCTGGGCAGGTTGGTATGGAAGAACATAGCCCTTCAGAGAGCCTGGGCCTAAGCAAGCACCCTTGTGATAGCAGATGACAGAGTTTAAAGGTTGAGCAACAGTTGAGCAACAAATCCAATGCAACAGTTACAGAAGCTTGTTGCCCAACAGCTGATTCCTGTTCTGCCAGCACTAGTATACAGTTACAGGAATTTAACTTAGGACTCAGCTTGTTGTTGTTTAGTCGTTTAGTCGTGTCCGACTCTTCGTGACCCCATGGACCAGAGCACGCCAGGCACTACTGTCTTCCACTGCCTACCCCAGTTTGGTCAGACTCATGCTGGTAGCTTCAAGAACAGTGTCCAACCATCTCGTCCTCTGTCGTCCCCTTCTCCTTGTGCCCTCCATCTTTCCCAGCATCAGGGTCCTTTCCAGGGAGTCTTCTCTTCTCATGAGGTGGCCAAAGTATTGGAGTCTCAGCTTCACAATCTGTCCTTCCAGTGAGCACTCAGGGCTGATTTCCTTAAGAATGGATGCGTTTGATCTTCTTGCAGTCCATGGGACTCTCAAGAGTCTCCTCCAGCACCATATTTCAAAAGCATCAATTCTTCGGCGATCAGCCTTCTTTATGGTCCAGCTCTCACTTCCATACATCACTACTGGGAAAACCATGGCTTTAACTATACGAACCTTACTATAGGACTCAGCTACATTAGTCAAAAAACAAAACAGTAATTTGAATGTGTTATAAACATGCAACACCAGATTGGAGCCGAAAACCTTTCTATAGTGTTCTTACATAAGGTGTTTTCTTTTCTTTTGTTATAACGATTTAATTTCTGACTTATTTATGGCAGTTTTCCCCCCTGTATGTAGATACACCCTTAGTGCGGCATTGGATACAACCCATCATATATTTTTATCTGTTATTATTATCTATATATGATATGATTTAGCAGAACTGCGATTCTTGGTGATGTTCAAGAGCAGGGGGACAAGTCCCTGCAAGCAAGCAGTCTACAATGTATCATCTAATGCAGGGATCATATAGTGGATATAACTTGAGCCAGACAGATTCCTGCTTAGCTATGAAGATCATTGGATTGCATTGGCCCAGACTCTATATCTAGGCTAATCTATCCAACAGGCTTGTTGTAAGAATGAAATGTGAATAAAATATAATCATATCCACAATGATAATAATATATAATACATTAGAAATGGCCTTGTGACCCTAACAACATAAGAAAAACCATATGTTTGGCATGAAACTTTCCAAGTTCACAGTCCTGATAAGATACTTCTTTTTCTGTCTGTTTGGTATATATTTGCAAATGTCACCTTCAACCGAATAGGGTCATGGTTTATCCAAAGGTGTTGCACAATTGTTTCAAGGTAAAGTTAAAGGGACCCCTGGCAATTAAGTCCAGTTGCGAACGAATCTGGGGTTGCGGCACTCATCTCTCTTTAAAAGCTGAGGGAGCCGGCATTTGTCCACTTCCACAGACAGTTTTTCCGGGTCATGTGGCCAGCATGACTAAGCCGCTTCTGGTGAAACCAGAGCAGTACACGGAAACACTATTTACCTTCCCGCCGGAGCGGTACCTATTTATCTACTTGCACTGTGTGCTTTCGAACTGCTAGGTTGGCAGGAGCTGGGACTGAACAACGGGAGCTCACCCCTTCGCAGGGATTCGAACCAACGACCTTTCAATCGGCAAGCCCAAGCAGCACAGTGGTTTAACCCACAGTGCCACCCGCGTCCCCCTACACAATTGTTTTATTGCACATCAAATGCAGAACAGTAAACCACTGTTACTCTGTTGATTTTTTTCTCCTCCTCAGCCAACCCTTCACCCATGAATAAATGTAGGATGAGGTATATTAATCTGTGAGAAATAATTCTAACAAAGAGCTATCCAGATGGTGCCATAGCATAATAAATGCTCCTAATGGAATTATGTGATGCCTGCACCATTGATGTCATGGTAATTTATCTCTTCCTTTCTGTAGACACATCTGAACACAAAGCTTAGCATTGCCTGGGAAATAGCATGGTGCATCAATGGCAATGTCTCTTTGAATGGCCACGTGTAAGTTTAAAGATGTGAAATTGCTTGGCTAGAGGATTTAGAAATAGAAAGTTGTGGGGGTTTGTGGGGTTTTTTTTTAGTGGGGCAGCAGAGCTTTCCTTGCAATGAAGTTTCAAAGGGAAGGGGCTACCACAGACAAGTCCCTGTTGGTTAGCTTATAGGGACCAGTGGCTTGTAGCAGGAGATGCTACAAGATCATCTCGCCAGCAAACCCGTTCCATTGGCTACAACCTATTTATTTTATGTATTTATTTTACAGATTTGCTGATAGGTCCCTCTCCCTTTTCCACTGTGCCACAGCACAGGAACAATTCAACGGCGGCTTAAGACATTTTGCAACCTTAGCTGAAGGAAAAGATGGCACCCTTCCCCAAGGCACATACGGAAGCCAGCTGGACTGGTAGTTGACTCTTACTCCAATACAGTGGTACCTTGGTTGTCAAATGGCTTGACTCCCAAACAAATTGGCTCCTGAACGCCACAAACCCAGAAGTAAGTATTTAGGTTTGCAAATGTTTTTTGAAAGCCGAACATCCGATGCAGTTTATGCGTCTTCCAACTGAGTGCAGGAAGCTCCTGCAGCCAATCGGAAGCCGCACCACTGTTTTCAAACAGTTCCGGGAGTCAAACAGACTCCCAGAATGGATTTAATTCGACAACCAAAGTACCACTGTACTAGTGAAAGGAAAGTGTATTCCACTGCAGTTGAGGGCAG